CATGCCAGTGCTGGGAACTGAACACAGCTTCTGCACAAGAGCAACAACACTCTTGTCGGCTGAGTCAATTCATTCTTTTGTTAATTTTTTATTTCTGTATATTTATGCGATTTAATTTTTATATATAAATTGTGTATATGAGTGTGTGTCATGTGTGTGGGTGCCTGAAAATTACACAAAGAACTCTCAAAGTCAGCTCCTATTTAAGAACAGCAAGCTCTCTCAACTGCAGAGTCAATTCATTTAAATCCTAGCAACACCATAGCACCCACACTTGTGCTCTCTAAAGTGACATCCAGAGACTTACTGTGTTCAGCGCGTTGAGCGTGGTGTCGTCCCGAGATGCCGCGACACAGCCATCCTCTGTAGAACCTCCATCACACATCCCCGCAAATGCAGCCATGCTCCTTTGGAGAAAGGGATGGAGTTTCCTTCATCAGCACACATTAATATCCATATACAGGTTTTTTTTTTTTTAAGTTTTTCGAGACAGGGTTTCTCTGTGTAGTTTTGGAGCCTGTCCTAGAACTAGCTCTGTAGACCAAGCTGGCCTCAAACTCACAGAGATCCGCCTGCCTCTGCCTCCCGAGTGTTGGGATTAGAGGTGTGCGTCACCACTGCCCGGCCTACAGGGTGATTTTTAAAGCTCCATTTGCAAGCTCATGTTCAGTCAAGATTCCATTACAGCATGCGTGTATGTCAGTCCTCAGTCAAGCCTCAAGAGTCTAACTCTTCCTCCTTGGGACAGAATGTGACTTGTAGAGGGTCTACGTTACTTCTCCTGTTTTGCTCAGATTGAGATTTCAAAAATGAACACATGAGTAATCTACTTCCCATGGTATTCCACTGGATTATGATAATCGGAAGTACCTGTATATACTATTACCAGACATTAATTAAAACTTAAGTCCTCAGAAAACAGGGAAGTTAATTTCTCTCTTCTATGTATCAATTACTTCTCACTGAACTAAAAGTAAAAAGTGACAGAATAGGGAAAAACATTCAGTCACTTACCCTGTTTACAATAATCTCATCTCCACTCCGTGCAAAGCACTGTGGACAACAAATGGCCGAGATGGAACTGGTGGCCCCAAGGTGTGCACTTCAGTTTTTGCCATTGCACACAGGTAAGGCTGCTGTGAGTCTCCCAAATCACTACAGACAAAGGGAGGTTCTGTCTGCACTATGGCATGAAGGGACTAGTTTCTATTTTCATCTTTGTCATTTGGATATTTACAGGTTCTATAGGATAACCACAGATAAATGTTCCCATGTCGGAAAGCCATACAAATGTCAAGCTTGGGTCAGACACCAATGAGCAGCCACAGTACAGAGAACAAGAACTCAGTAATGTAACTGTAAGCTGAGGTCAGTGGTTCACTCAGCTGCAGTGAGAGATGCAGATAATTACAGGCATAGCTGAAGATATATTCCTTCTGAGGAGTTCGAAAGTCTGATGTGAGGCAAATATCAAGAAGAGAAAATGGTAAGCAATCTTTGTCAGGTAAGTAAGGCTCACCAGGGCAGAAATCAATATTGCAAGTGAAGGAAAGGTAAACAAGACACTGTACTGACACTCATCAGTCTATGCGTCCTAATTCAGAAGGCAGCTGGGGCATTTCCCATTACCTCGCTGCCCTCAAGTACATGAGGAGGTCACAGTCGCTGACTCCAGGCATCCAGACAAGTTCCTCATGCTGAGTCACAGCATCACCATCTGGAGAAGGAAATGGTTGCAGATCTGGAAGCTTGGCCTGGAAGACAGGGATGGAGAAGTCACCACCAAGGTAAGCACTAGAAAGAGGCATCCCAGCATGCAGTGTCCTGGAAATGCGCACTCTACAGAAAGGTAAGAGCAAAACCACGAATCACTGAAACTGGCCCGTGCCACAATGGACCATTTCACCATAGATGTCACAACTGCACAATCCCTCTTAATAAGCAGTGAGGGTGTCAAAGCCACCTGTACCAATGTGACCTCAAGAATGAAAAGATTGGATAAACAAGTAGAACAAACAACGCCAAAAGGTATTACAGAGTGACAGCTCTGGATAAGAACAAGACATACATCTCCAATATACATTTTCAGGTCAGACACAGCAATTTACAGAACCACACCTAAGGTTGAGATAAAAACAGTGAGCTACTAAAGATAACATTGAAACAGTTTAATTAACTTAAGTGGTAGAAATAGCATAGTTTGGGAAGAAAAGGAACATTTTATCAAGGGTCAGGAAGAAACTCTCTGGAAAAAAACAAGTCTGAGATTTACTGTGACTCTGCTGAATGAACTGAATAGTATATATAAAAACAAACCACCAGGGCGGTGGTGGCACACGCCTTTAAGTCCAGCATTTAGGAGGCAGAGGTAGGCGGATCTCTGTGAGTGCGAGGCCAGCCGGGTCTACAGAGTGAGTTCTAGGACAGGCTCCAAAAGCTACAGAGAAACCCTGCCCCGAAAAACCAATAAAATAAATAAATAAAGCAATAAAAAGAAAGCAAATCACCTGATGTAACACATACATTCCAAATAAGAACATGAGTGATCACAACAACCAAGATTCTAAGTAATCAGATTTCTTACCTGCACTCTAAGGCAAGTACAAAGGCTACTTTAACTACCAGATGTAATGAACTGCTCTGTCCCTTTAAGAGACAAGCCACGCCCACTCACTCCTCTGCCTGTGAAGGTAAGCTGATCTATAGCTTCCAGCCTTACCCCCTTTTCTCCCCTTTCCTCTCCATAACCCACTAAACAAATATCCAACCTCACTCTGCATGGAGTGCCTATCTATATCTCTGTCTCTCCCATGGCTGTGCAGCTCCCTGCCCAGGACCAGCCGCCAGCATTTTCCTCATGGGACTAGCTGCCCCATTGACATCTCTTACCCATTACGAGGCTCCCTGGCTGAGATTCCTGGCTCCCTGCAGCCACTAGAGGAGCTACACTGTCCCTGCCTGGGACTGGCTGCTCTTGCTCTCTGGAACTGATGCCCACTGCCTGCCACCACTTTGGGGACTAGCGGCATGGTCTCAGGACCCTCTGCCCGCTGCAGCCACTTGGAGACCTGCAGCATTTTGTTAAAACCATAACATCAGAGGCCTAGGGAAGGACCTACAAGTTACCTGACATTTTCGTTGTAAGAGCCAAAGTTATGTTTTAAGTTTTAATCACTGTGCCTAAAAGATAACATAAAACAAAAATGCCTCTGTAAGCCCTAAACCTGTAAAACCTGTAAAAAACCTGGCAGTCCAATGCCCAAGGACAAATACTTCCTGAAGTATTAGAGGTTGTTATTCAGGTAAGATAACTTCTCTAAATAAGTTTGATTGACCCAACCGCACCAGATGTGCTTGATCACAGGTAGGCAGGATGATTAATAGGCAGGAGGTTCATCAAGAATGGATGTTTGGTGCTCGCTTCGGCAGCACATATACTAAAATTGGAACGATACAGAGAAGATTAGCAGAGCCCCTGCACAAGGATGACACGCAAATTTGTGAAGCGTTCCATATTTAAAAAAAAAAAAAAAGAATGGATTTCTGGGAACCCTGAAATGGATCTGGTCAGAGTTTATCATCCTGGCCAGTATTTAATTAAAGCTTGCTTCAAATTTGGCTCAAAATTTTGGTAATAGTCTTATGTTGTTTTGATATTTTACACTGTGCTGAAATTCCTAGGAACAGTTTAAGTGAAAAAAGCAGACGAATGTAGAAGCAAACACGGGAAATGCACAGTGACACATAGTAAGTTAACAGTCTATAGACTTGAAACAAAATTCCACATCCTAATCTGCATTAGGTAGGCTGCTTATGAGCCACGTGCTGGGAGAGGGAAGTGATGGGGAATCTTTGTCAGCCAATGATCTTTTAAGGGGTGGTATCAGGTTAAGGCATGACCTCTGGGAGAAAAATTCAGGCCCAAGGTTTGCTCCTCTGTGGTCCCTGCACAAGTCCAGCTGAGCTTGGACGTCTCGTTCCTGTTTTGTGAGTTTGCCCCTTACAATAAAGAAAAATATAGTTGGTCTGTCTTTTAGCTACCCTGGTTTTCTTTTGACTGGAGATAATTCAACAGGGAAGAGAACAAGGTAAAACAAAGAGAGAGGAAAATATCACTGCCCCACCCAGGGGACACCCTTGTCTCCCCACACCCCACACCATCCAGAAATCTTCGCTTTGAGTGAAAGTTCCTATTTTCAGATACTGTACGCACACATCTGCTCTGCCAGGAGGATGCACAGCTCTGCTTTCCAGGCCACCTCTGATGGACCTGAATTCCTGGAAATCTCATCTTTCCCAACCAAGGTATGTGGCACACTCTAACCAAATAATAATCTTTCACATTTAGTATTCACTTTATAGCTTTTTGGGTCCGACCCCCCCCCCCGCCCCCCGCCAGGGTTTTTCTTCCGTGTAACGATCCTAGTTGTTCAGGAACTAGCTCTGCAGACCAGACCAGGCTGGCCTTGAACTCACAGAGTCCCCATGCTAGAATTAAAGGCATGAACTACCACCACCAAGTTTAGAAGCTATCAGGTTATAAAAGCTTTATTTACTAGAAAAGCAGAATCCACCCTTAATCGTCCAGGAACCTCCCTTAACTTTTCCCCAAAGTCAGCTACCTCTGTCAAGGCACCAAGTTCTGTCTGTATCAATCCCGACAGCCTATATCATGTAAAATCTGTTTGCTTTTCCACTACTTTCATCTGTCTAGCTCCCAGAGAGAGTCTTGGCAATTAAATACCCCAAAAACAGAGTGATCTAGTTCAGTTTTTTCTCTGCCCCATCACAAGGTGTCGCAATTAATTCTACTTAATATGAAAGGAGATAGATACCCATTGGAAAGTCAATGACGTTGGTACTGGCTTTGTATCCCCAGGCCAGGTCCAATCTCTAGTATACAATGGCTCTTCATTAAATGAAAAAGGTATTACAGTTGGGGAATAGGACCAATCCCTGGAGGAGGGTGTAACAAGAAATACAATTGGGTGACATAGAACAAAAAATGGAAATGGCGAGAGGTGGAAAGGGCGCAGCGTTTGAAACATGGCGGACGACGTAGATCAGCAACAGACCACCAATACTGTAGAGGAGCCCCTGGATCTCATCAGGCTCAGTTTGGATGAGCGAATTTATGTGAAGATGAGAAACGACAGAGAGCTTCGAGGCAGATTACATGCTTATGATCAACATTTAAATATGATCCTGGGAGATGTGGAAGAAACTGTGACAACAATAGAGATTGATGAAGAGACGTATGAGGAGATATATAAATCAACAAAACGGAACATCCCCATGCTCTTCGTTCGGGGAGATGGTGTTGTTCTAGTTGCCCCTCCATTGAGAGTCGGCTGAGACAGAAGAGGATCCTGTGTAGGAAATGGAGACTTTGCCTCTTGAGATGTACAGAACACTCACAGAGAGAAGCTCACATGCAAGGATCCCTCCACCCTCAAGGAAGTTCATTTCCGAGTAACTTATAGCCTCAGCTAAATCCCATGTTCCTTTTCTCCAGCCTCCTGTCAGTGTTGCCAGCCTCCTCGTTCTTCAGGAGTTGTTTGCCCATTGTTCATGGAGTTACTTTCAGGTTGTTTTCTTTAAATTAAATTTGATGTCCCTTTTTTATTAAAAAAAAAAGGAAATGGCTTTTAATGGTAACTATGATGCCTAAACAAGAGGAATACAGGTGACCAACAACAGACTCCAATCTTCTCCATCACAGTCACTAGGGGGACCATGCGGCACAGCAGTAAGAACTGGCTCTCCAGTCAAGTAGGTCTCTTTCGGAGGATATATGCAAAGATGTGTCACAAACATCAGTGCACATGGGTCATTCACTGTGGCATTACATGTAATTGGGCATCTCAGAAATGCTGCATCAAATACAGGCGACAAGGGGGGTGGAGGAGGTGAGGAAGAGGCAACTTTGGCAAACAGAAAGAAGGGAGCCCAGAGAGCGCACATCATCTACCATTATGTAAAGGGCAAAAGGAAATAAAAGAAAACGGGAAGAAGAATATCATTGTAAAGTTAACACATCATAATAGAACATTATGAAATCCCTAAATTAAATGAAAAATTACATGCAACAACAGTTGAATTGGTTCTACTCAGGAACTATTTTAAGCAATGCTAAAACATTAATTTACCTGCACAGCCCTCATGGGCTATAGTAAAAAGGTAAAACGGAATTTAACAGCACACTTGTTCCCAGCAACTGTAAGTATAGTTCAGTGGCAAAGTATGTGTAATGCACATGCAAGGCCCGGCACTAAATCCCAGCACCAAAGGAAGTCAAAGGAAAGCATTCTAATAGTCTATAGCAGTGTGAATATTGTTATTTGTGGTTATAAAATAAATCATATGCAGGAGAAAGATAGATTTAGATGAATGAAGCTGGGCAATGGTGGCACATGCCTTGAATCCCAACACTCAGGAGGGAGAAGAAAGTGTATCTCTGTGAGTTCAAGGCCAGCCTGGTCTATAAAGTGAACTCCAGTACAGCCAGGGCTACACAGAGAAACCCTGTCTCAAAGAATAAAAAAATAAAACCAGATTTAGATGAAAGCAGAGCAGGGTTAATAGAAATGTGAAAGTTTTAAGTAATAAGATCAGAACGAACTTACACATGTAGTATTACACACACACATACACAAACAGAACTAGAGTGAGAAGAAGGGACAGGGTGTTTAAGGTCACTGATTTGGAACTACAGAGCTGGCCCAGAGTTCACGCAGTGCACATTTAACTCTAACTCCAGCTCCAGAGGGGACCCAATGTCTGATTTCCTTGGGCAACTAGACTCATGAGCACATGTCTCCACAGACACAAGCATGCTCTAAACTCTAAAGTAAAAGCAAATATTGAGAAAAGGAAATTACTGGATTTTTCCCTTTCCTATTTTATATGTGTGGTGTGCACATATGTCTACATCTTATTGTGTGTGAGTGGGTGGGGACATGCAGAGAGGCCTGTGGTTAATGCAGAAAATCACCCTCAATTCCTCTTTGATTTTGTTGATGGAGGGCCTCTCCCTCAAACCCAGAGCTTACCACTATCACTGCTCTGGGGACCTCAGTTCTGAATTCTTCTACTGGAATTGTGGGACCAACGCCACACACACTTGGCATTTTCGTAGATTCTGGGGATCAGAATGAATTCTGGTTCTCACACTTGCAGGTCAAGCGCTTTATTTTGTTTTTAATTGCAGTGATTTATTTTTGTGTCATGAGGTTGGTGTATACCACAGCAGAAATGTAGAAGTCAGTCAAGAGTCAGGTCTCTCCTCCAACCATGTAGGTGCCAGGATCACACTTCGGTCACCAGGCTTGAGCCATCTTGCCAATCAAATGCAAGTGATCACTAAGTCATCTCCCAACCCCAAGATATTACAGACTTTGGTTTGGTGTGAAATATTGTAGTTCTGTCTTTAATAAGAGGTCTTTTTTTTCCTCATTGTGCTATCTGTAATTAAAATGATGGAGTGACTCATTTCAATCACCACAAATAGGAAGCAGCCTGAGTAGATCAGACAGGACAAGTCTCACTAGAACTCTGCAAAGCTCAGTGACACTGAGGACTGTATTCTGTTCCGACTTTTGTATGTGTTACTATCTTCCCTAAGAAAAAAGCTAAAACTTTAAAAAGTTAAATAGATTTTGGTACTTTAAAAGTTGACTATTAAACTATATTTCCAGCTATGATATTAAATTAGCATTTGATTTAAATGAAAGCATACAAAACCCAAGTCTAGCAAACCTGCTTCTTTCTGGGATCTAGATGCATCCTCCTCTAGCAGCACCTTTTCTGTTAAGGTAGGAAATAAATCTTATTTTTTGGGTTTTTTGAGACAGGGTTTCTCTGAAGCTTTGTAGCCTGTCCGGGAACTAGCTCTTGTAGACCAGGCTGGCCTCGAACTCACAGAGATCCCAAGTGCTGGGATTAAAGGTATGTGCCACCACCGCCCAGCAGAAATAAATCTTAAGTCAAAATCCAGTATGAAGAACCTGCAATCCTGGGAACAAACTGTAGGAGAGAAAATGGGGCTGGGGGTGGGGACACGGGGACAAAAACCAAGAAAACGAAATACAAAGGCAAGAAGAGAAATGGGAGTGTGACTGAGCGATGCCAGGCAAGTATTGGATCCTTGATTCCAAATACAGCTAGAGGCTGGTGAGAGGGCTCAGTGGGGAAAGGTGCTTGCTGCCAAGCTTGACAGCCTAAGTCTGATCCTTGAGACCTACATAGTAGGAGAAAATTTATTCCTGCAAGTTGTCCTCTGCTGTAGACAGGTGCCCCCAACACACACACACACACACACACACACACACACACACACACACACACACACACACACACACACATAGGTAACTGTAAACAAACAAACAAATAAAATCAAAGCCCAAGGACATTCTTATAGTACATGCCTATAATTTCAGCATTAAGAAGGCAGAGTTAATCTGGGCCACATAGTGACTCCTTGTTAAAATAAAATAAAATAATAAAATAAAATGAGGACTGGAGGTTAAAAGTGCATACCGCCTTTCCAGAGGATCCAAGTCTGGTTCCCAAAACACATGCCAGGCAGCCTAAACTATAATTCCAGGGGATGTCAAGCCCTCTTCTGGCCTCCACAAGCACCTGTACTCATGTACATATGGCCCCACTTAGGCACACATATATACATGTAATTTAAAAGTAATTTTAAAAAGCAGGGCATGGTGATGAATATTTGAATCCCACGCTTGGAAAGAAAGGCCAAATTCTCTGTGAGTTTGAGGCCAGCCTAGGCTATATACTGAGTTTCAGGCCTGTCAGGGCTATAAATATAGTGAGACCTTATCTTAAATACTCACAACAATAACAAAAATATATCGCAAAACATCAAACTAAACAACCAAAACCAAAAACCAACCAATGAAAAAACTCAACAATAACAACAACAACAACAAAAATCCAAAAAAGCAGAAATTCCAGTCCAGAGCCAGGGACAGTAGTACAGGTCACAGGCAGAGAACCTACTTAGTGTGAGCAAGGCTTTGGTCCCCTCTCACCGCTGTAAAATGACACCCCAGGAATCCACAGTTCAGAGGCAGTCCTTCCTGGTCAGGCCCACCTAACAGTTCATTCCAGGAAGACAGCAATGAATGGGACGCTCAGCTACTGTGTATTTCTGCCTTTATCATGAAATGAGAACCATTTAGGAACAAGAAGCGCCTACTGATTTCTGCATTTTGATTTTGTCTTCAAGTTTTTACTTTTCTCTCATCAAAGAGGTAAAATATGTTCCGAAGAAGTGTTTATGTTACATAAAAATGCTCAAAAGCTAAAGAAGAAAAACAAAAGCCTTATACACACACATACACACGCACACACCAGTACCCCAAAAAACCTTTAGCTCTGTATTTAAGAGAACTAGAGAATTATCAATAACTACTCTAAGATGCTACTTGAAAGAACAAAAATAATTTATTTGCTTTTATTTCGTATGTATTGGTGTTTTGCCTGCATGTATGTCTGTGTGAGGGTGTCAGGTTCTCTGGAACTGGAGCTACAGTTGTGAGCTGCCATGTGTGTGCTGGGAATTGAAGTCAAGTCCTCCGGAAGAGCAGCTGGTATTCTTAACCACTGAGCCATTTCTCCAGCCATCAAGAATAAAGATAAAGCAGAAAAATTGAAAATAAAAAGTTATTAAGTTAGTAAAATGTAGTTTACCTGATGGCTGGGGCCAACCCGAATTTCTCCTTGTGTGCTATTCAGCCTCCTGCAGAGAAGAGAGCAGAAAGTTAACAGAGCTGTTCTGACAAACCTTCCAAGAGTTTTCAAGGGAAGTCAATCACTCCACGTAGATGAGAGACATCTTATTTTTTAATATTTATTTATGTGTATGTACCTTTGCCTGAGTGTATGTTTGTCCACAGAGGACCAAAGAGGGCAGCAGGTGGACAACCCTGAAACGGGAGCTACAGATGGTTGTGAGCTGGCACGTGGGTGCTAGGAATGGAACCTGGGTCCTCTGAAGGAACAGCCAGTGCTCTTAACTGCTCAGCCATCTCTCCAGCCCCAGAGAGACGTCTTAAAAGGAGGCCACTCCTTCACTGTTTCCAACATTGCTTCAGCTACACATGCTTGCATGCACAGGTCCTTAACCTCTCATCCCCCTCAAAATCTGACTGCACCACCTGCTGGTTTGAGGAAGGACCTCTCCGTGTAGCTGGGGCTGTCCTCCTCACACTCACTATGTAGTTAAGGGTGAGCCTGAACTTCTAACCTTTCTTCCTCCCTTCCTAAGGCTGAGATTACGAGTATGTGTAACCACACTCAGTCTATTCATCCTGAAGACCAGACCCAAGGACCATGTGTGCATGCGTACCAGGTAAGTACTATATCAACTGAGCTACATGCCCAATCTCACTTTCTACTTTTATTCCAATAAATTTTTTCATCAAGAACACTGTTTGGGTGGGGGGGGCGCAGTAGCATTGACAAGGTGGAGAGGGCAGTGACAACAAAGTGATCCCAGTCCCAAGATTCTAGAACTGACCTGGCAGGGTGGTAGCACCCATCTCCCAATGAGAAAGATCACAGATATCATACCAAAACATAAGACACTCCATTCCAGAAGAAACTTCAAAAAATTGTAAGCGAAGTTAAGCAAACCAGCCAGGCTTCCAGTGTCTAACCAGCTGTCCACAGGCTGCATGCAGTCAAACAAGCTATGACCGTGGCCCGACCAAACTGTTAAGTCCTAGCAATTGTTTTATGACTCCACTGTGTGGTTCTCGAATGTAAGCTGTGGGTGCCAGCCAACTCCTGCCTGAGGTGAAGAAGCTGTTCATTTGTTGTTGTTTTGTCACAGAGATCCCCCAAACAACCAAGTCACTCTGCCTGGAGTGGACTGGGCGCCTCTGGAGCAGAGAAAGGGCAGGACAGAAAGGCAGAAGATAGGCATTTTCAAGAGGGAATAAAACCACAACAACACGACAGAGGCAGGTGGACAAGAAGGGGGCTCTGGTGGTAAAGTACTTATACCAAGGGCTCATTCTGTTGCAGCTGGCAGCAACCTCCCTCTCTGACACAGAAGCTTGTAGATCGACTCGTCTAGGAGGTTTATGATTCAAAAACTATGCCAAGTATTCAACTAGCCAGGCCATGACTACCTGCTTGGGTTTTTGTTTATTGTTTGGGGTTTTGGTTTTGTGAGAAAGGGTTTCTCTGTGTAGCCATGGTTGGTAGACAAGGTTGGCCTTGAACTCAGAGATCCACCTGCCTCTGCCTCCAGAGTCTGGGATTAAAGGCTGTGCCCACCACACTCAGCACAACAGCTTGTTTTCTAAGTTGGTGTGAGCCACTATTTTCATCCTAACATGTCCATTTCTATTTCTTAGTTCGCCATGAGCAAAATAGCCTGCCAAAGCATTTCCACTGACTTTCCAAATGCTCTTGTGACTACAAGTATCTCCAGTCAAGACCTATTACACCTCAGAAAGCTTAAGCCACAATCGCTACAGCTCAATCTTTAGCCTGTTCTAGAATGTCTGTGCTGTTTTAGGGTGCCCTAACGGTTGATTACAAAAATCTTTCTAATATCACTGATACCCACAGTGCTAAAGTAATATGCCACCAAAATAAAAACAACCCTCAAGCACCTTATGGAAATATGAATCTACTCCTATTTCTAAAAATAGAAGGAACCCAATGTGAAGGAACACACCTGCAATCTTAGCACTTGAGAGAGCTAGGACAGGAGGTTTATAATTCAAGGACAACTTTGGCTACACTATGAAACCATGTTATAAAAATTCCCCCAAAATTCAGTGATGGTAAGTACCGGGTATTTGATGTACCCTGTGCGGTTCCCCTAAGCCCTTCCTAGACCTCTTTGTGGCTCTGCGGCCTTTCCCACATGGTTCTTCAGGCTAATGCACTGTAGTTCTTCCTTGGAGTTCTATGCCGGAAGGGCATCTGATTTTGAGAAGACAAACATGGCATCCAGTGGTCAGGGAGAAAGAAAAGGCCCTAAGCTTCAACTGACTGAAGAACAGAAACAGGAAATCTGGGACGCTTTTGATCTCTTTGATGCTGATGGAACTGGAACTACAGACATTAAGGAACTAAAGGTTGCAATGAGGGCCCTCGGTTTTGAACATAAGAAAGAAGAAATCAAGAAGATGATAAGTGAAATTGATAAGGAAGGGACAGGAAAAATTAACTTTAGTGACTTCTTGATAGTGACGACTCAGAAAATGTCTGAGAAAGACACCAAAAAAGAAATCCTGAAAGCCTGCAAGCTCTTCGATGATGATAAAACTGGGAAAATATCGTTAGGTAAGAACCTGACTGATAAGGAGCGCTAGGAAATGACTGATGAAGCTGATGGATGGAGATGGCAAGATCGATGAGCAAGAGTTCCTGCGCATCATGAAGACCAGTCTCTATTAAGATCTAAAGGTGCTTCTTTTTCTACTGCAAGCACATGTGACTAGATTTAGTGCCTGCCATTTTGTGAAATATGTTTTTTGAGAATCCCTTTCCCCCAACCCCTGGAAATAACTAGCCGTGACCTTGAATCTATTCTTGACTTTTGGAAGTTTCTTTGATATTAAGTTCTTTGTACCTTTACCTGCTGATTGATTCAACAGGGCAACACAAGAGCACACAGAGGGGCAAAAGGTCTGAGAGTGAGTGCAGCCACCCCGCCTTCCATTACTTCTCACTGCTCATGCATTCCACACAGCTGCAAACAAACCATGGCTTCTTAGATGTCCATGCATCCATGTCACCATAAGCAGTGGTTGTTCTAAAACTGTTCTAGTTTTTGTGCAGTTTTTCCTCATAAAACGTAGTGAATGCTTGCTGTGGCATTTGGATGTGTATTAATGGATTTGTTTTGTTTGAAAAATAAAACCTTTCTTAGCCGGGTGGCAGTGGTACACATCTACAAGAGCTAGTGCCAGGACAGGCTCCAAAGCCACACAGAGAAACCTTGTCTCAAAAAAGGAAAGAAAAAGAAAACCTTTCTTTAATTAAAAAAAAAAGTTAGGCAGTGGTGGGACACACTTTTAATAGCAGTACTCAGAAACGTAGGGGCAGGCAGATCTTTTGAGTTCAAGGCCAGCATGGTCTACAGAGTCCAGGACCAAACCCTGTCACAAAGAAACAACAAACAAATGGAAAAAGGAGGGCTAGAGAGATGGTTCAGCAATTAGGAGTGCTGGCTGCTCTTGCAGAGGACTGAGTTCATTTCCAGCACCTATATGGCAGCTCACAACTGTCTGTAATGGGATCTGATGCCCTCTTCTGATGAACAAATGGACATGTAGACAAAGTGTCCACATATATAAAATATGTAAATGAATCTTTAAAAATAAAAATTTAAGAAGTCCAAAAAGGAAAAGAACAGGAAGCAAACATCTATTACATTAAGAATTAACAAAGACCTTTAATTTCAGCACTTGGGCAGCAGAGGCAGGCAGATCTCTGAGAGTTCGAGGCCAGCCTGGTCTACAGAGCTATTTCCATGACAGGCTCCAAAACTACAGAGAAACCCTGTCTTGAAAAACTGAAAAGAAAAAAAGAAGAAGAAAAAGAAGAAGAGGAACTAACAAAGGAGGTGCTAAGTGCAAGAATTTCATAGGAGCCTAACTAAATGAGAACACTCTGGTATGGCTTGGTCTTCAAGGTGCTAAAAATGAAACTGAGGTCCTATACACAGTAGAGCTGGCCCTGTGGTAGGGGATTCAGGTGAGCCAACACAGTGCCCCCTACAGCAATTGGGCAAAACAGTTGAGCTGGCCCTGGTGGTATGAGTGTGGGTGACCCGAATCTGAGAGCAGGAGAGCTAACTGGCTGCACTCCTTGTTCAGGCTACATTGGGTGAGCTAACTGAAGCAATGCTGGGGAGCTTGCCCAGATAGTGATGTAGAGTCTATGTTGGCAAGCTAATGGGCTGATTGACCCAGCTACTACCCAGGCCCAGAACCAGGGCTGAGTTAGTCCACCCCAACACCCATCTCATCTAGGAACGGTTGGTTGGAACATGTAAATGGGACAAACCTACAGATCTAAAACAGCAGGATCTCCATGACACAGGACAGCAGGATATCTGAGAGGAGTCCTAGTGAGAGCCCATTATTGGTGCTACAGCAGAAGCCAGAGGCCTCCAGCCAGGCCAAATGACCTGGTACAATGGCCACTTGCAAGTGACAATGAAAGGGTTAAAAGGTATACTGTGACTCAATGGGTCACACTACAGCTTCCATGATGAGATTCTTTTCCTTTGGTGGTTTGTTTTTTGGTTTTTCTTTTAAACCTTTATTTGGGGTGGGAGGTTACAAGAGCAGAGAGCAGTGGAAACGGAATGCATGATGTGAAATCCACAATAAATAAAAGTTTATATATTAAAAAAAAACAATAGCAGTAACAACAAAAAGCATAGTGAAAATAAGGTCATTGTTCTAGAATTACCTAACAATAGCACACAACTATATTCTCCTGTCCACTTTTTTATTTACTTTATTGCACTCAGTCATTTCTGTAGTTTTTAAATCATATGAAGAAAACCCAGCCCCACACAGCTATGTAACTGGAGAGGGCAGAACACTTTAATACTGCTGCATTTGTTGCTTTTGAGGCAGAGTCTCAATACTTAGCCTGACCTCAGACTTACGACCCGTGGACAGCCACCATTACAGAAGTGTACCACCACACTTGTTCACCATCTTTCTGGTACCACACCAAGACATAATGAGAGCTGATATATTTAAGACTATGTGTAATGTTTTGGCTTCTGTTTTGCTTAATTGTTGGGATGGCAAGCACCTTACCACCAAGTTAAGTTCCCACATAAAGACTTCCTTACAATGTTAACATAAATCTTTATTAATAATGTTCTGGACTCACAAGGCACAAAAGGAAAGAATCAACTCCACAAAGTTGTCCTCTGACTTCCACCCGTGCATCATGGGATGTGCATGTCCACACATAAATATATATACAAAATAAATTTAAAAAATTTTAAGTGAGAGTTCTCCAAAAACAGCTCAGTGGATAAAGACACATGCCACCAATTTTTTAAAAGCTGGACGCGTCATCGTCCCCCCCCCCCTCCACAATGACTTCCCCAGGCTTCCTTCTCACTCACCCCTGGTAATTTCTTATACACACACACACACACACACACACACACACACACACACAATGTTCTGTCTGTGTATATGTCTGCAGGCCAGAACAGGGCACCAGACCTCATTACAGATGGTTGTGAGCCACCATGTGGTTGCTGGGAATTGAACTCAGGACCTTTGGAAGAGCAGGCAATGCTCTTAACCACTGAGCCATCTCTCCAGCCCCATCCCCTGGTAATTTCAATAAGACCTAGTTAATAATAAGCCTGAGCTAAGAGGCCAAAGAGTTTATAATTAATACAAGCCCCTGTGTTTCACTGGAACTAAACATCTGTGGAACCAGGCAGGACAGAAATGGTCGTCTACAGATGTATTACAATTAAAACTAAAAATAGGAAATAAAGCCAGATGCACACCTTTAATCCCAGCACTTAGGAGGCAGAGGCAGGCTGTAGTGATATTTCATTTGTATTTTAATAAATAAAGCTTGCCTGAAGATCAGAGAGTAAAACAGCCTCACTGGTCAGCCCTACAGACCAAGCAGTGGTGACACACACCTTAAACCCAGCCCTAGAGAGGATTACAAAATGGGAGGAGACAGCACTCAGTCACAGTCTCATTCTGAGATTCCTGGAGGCAGGATTTCAGACTGAGGTAGAGGTAAGAGCCAGTGGCTGGCTGCTCTGCCTTTCTGACCTGCAGGGTGAAACCCAATACCTGTCTCTGGGTTTTTATTAATCATGTTAGAGTAGGCAGATCTCTTAGTTGGAGAACAGTCCCATCTACACAGAGTTCCAGGTCGGCTAGGGCTACAGAGACTCTGTGTCAGCCAAAACAAACAAAAGCCACCTAACTTAAAACAGTGACAAGAAACACCAGAAAAGTGTGTGCATACGTGTGCACGCATGTGTGCGCATGAGTGACATGAGTACATGTGTGTGTATGTGAGAGAGAGAGACAGAGAGAAAGACAAAGACAGAGAATGTGTGTCTTCCTATGCAGTCCATACTGGACTCAAACTCGCAATCTTTTGCCTTTGCCTTTTAAGCACTGGGATCACAGGCCAACTCCAGTGCAGTCTTCTGGCTTCCTCCATTTCTCTCTATTTCCTAGTGATCTCTGTGATTTCAAACACTGAAATACTGTGAATCCAGATTAATATGTAAGTGCGTGTTCATTTTATAAAAAAGCTATTATTATCCTTCCTAAAACAGAGAATTCCACTGTATAGCTAATATAAATTATGTTTTGAAAAATAGCTGACTCGCAACCTGTATTATTCTACGACTCTTTGGTTGGAATATGAAAAAATGGTTTCAGAAGCCAATTTACGATGATGGTAAGCCATTGTGTTTATTTTTTTAGTAACAAAAAAATAAATTCATTTTATATGAAATCTGATACAAAAGAAACTGATGTAACAAAGCAGTATCCATAGCAACTACAACTTAATATTTCAGCCCTCTTCAGCTGCAGTGGATTAAATAAAATGACAAGATGTTCCCTTTGAAAAGTAACCTGTTACCATGGAAACAGTTTAGTCTAAGAAGTAAACAGGGAGTGGACAGAAAGAGGCAGGAAGCTTGCAACTGAATTTCAAAAAGGGAGAGGTATCTTTGCCAGGAGATAGGAAGGCAGAAACCAGTAGCCCCTGAAGGACTGGTCATTTAGCCCCAGGGGCCTGCCCCACCCTAGGGCTGGTCTGAGAACTTTACAGAGTCACTTCCCACCCAAAGAAAGGGGGAGTGGAGGGAAGCACTCTGGCCGCCTACTGCAGAGTACCAACTACAAAGGCGACAGAAATAAAAGGACTTGATTCAAACTTTAGCTCTACGTGTATGTTGACATAATCTCTCTAGTCCTCAGCTCATAATGGCAACTAACTCAGCAAAGAGACTGTAGAAAGAAGAGAATAGCTATGGTATGAACCAGCACAGGCCTGCTGCAGTCACTGCTATTCTTAGCTCTGTGAGGTGGTGACCACAGAACAGGGCAAATCTCCATACTTCACCTTCAGACCATATCCGTCATGACTTTTGAAAAATTACAAACTATACAAACGGCTTTCTTGCTCTCCAGACCAAAACCATCGTGGAGATGGAACCAAGCCTGCTTTGAGCTCCCCACTGTGCCTAAGAGCATATTTTAAAGCTTTAACTAGCATGTAGGAAGTGTGGACAATAAAGGCTTCATGGCACATCTTTGCTATGTCTGTTGAGTACTGTGGTCACATTCTCCCCCAAGGTCTGTCTCCCTGAACAGTCTACCTTACACTTTCATGTCACTTTCTTTTGCATATCTATTTTTCATAATCTAGCTTTGTTATACTTAAAAAGATGATCCTGCAGTTCTATCCA